TGAAGAATACAAAGGTAGATGAAATGCAATGTAAAGTACAATGCATTACACTCCTGAAGAAATAATCTAAATTACTTGTACATCCTGATGGATCTTGCAACCTCTCAGGGTATCATTTTGGACAACTCAATGAAGAAGAGCAATCAACTATGAATAAATCAATGCTACAACATGTTAAAAGCAGAGCTAAAAAGTGTAAATATTAAATAGAAGGTGATTTTAGCATGTTTTCTATTTTAGAAGCACTGCCCTTTTAAAAAATGACGTCAGTGTAATATTTTTGTAACGTGGAAAAGGTCCAAACAAAGGAAAATACGTTAATAAAATAATTTAGAAGTCAGTTATAATGCAAATAATGAGCACAATGCACATGCTTTTTTTTAATTAAAAATAAAAATATCAGCTCCTAAGTGTGGGTGCTAATTTATAAATCTTTATGAACAGGAACCATAGGAGAGAAAAACGTCATAGAAAACAGGGACATTTGCGAATTTTAAACAGAATAAAGGAAAGATTTAGTGAATTTTCTGAAGGTCACAAAACAATTGAATGACCACGCTGAGAAGGAACTCAGATCCCCTCCCTTCCAGCCAACATTCAAAATTACCAGATGCTTTTTGCACTCTCTTCCACTAAAAAAATGAGTAGCATAAAAGCCAATCAAGTGCTCCTGTTCATAGTCTTGGAAACTCAATTTTTAAAATGTCCTTTTAAATATTAACTTGAGTTTTATAATTAGAGTATGAAGCTTTATAAATGCCTAAGTGGAAATATGCGTCAAAACATTATCATTGATATGTGATACAAAATGTTGACAGACATTAAAAAAAAACTCAATATAGATTAAAGAGACACAAACTTCCAGATTGTTAGGTTTGAAAATTGTCACATCTCTTTACTGACTATTTAAGATCATAAATTTAACAGTAGATGAAAAAACATAGTTCCTTACTGTTTGGGAACTATGAATTGCTCTACAAATAAGTAAGGGTTTTCCTGGCTTTTTCTTTAAATTTAAGCACAAAATATTGAGATTTGCTATATCCCAATAACATGAAATATATCTAAACAGTTAAAAGATCTCTTAGGCAAATAATTTCCAGCTAATCTCCAAAAATAAAATTTCCATTTTTGATAAATTTTACTTCACACTAGATTCTAGATAATTATTGATTTATTCCTTCCTTCAATCAGCCCATTTTTTGTTATATACCTATCATCCTCGAGGCACTGTGTGAGGTGTCATGGAGGAAAAAAACTATGTTTTCACCTTCAAGATCTAAGAGACCAGGTTAAGAACCATTTAACAGACAAGTCCACCTTGTGGAGCCGCAGTTTCCTTACACTGGGGGCTGATGTCCCACTTTGGTAAAGCTTTTCTTGGTTTCAACATAGAGTATGTTGCCATCAGATTACTCTTCTCAACCTTGCATGTTTACCTTTCCTTTTTTATGTTTTTACAGCCCTTTTGCCCGTGTACATTGCTAATGCTGGGTTTGACTAAAACAGACCACTGGCGGAAACATCTATCTCCTAAATCATAATCCTATTGAGGGTACTGTGGGAATAGAGATAATCTGAAGGAATGAGGAGCTACCTAAATTAATAAATTGGTGACAAAGTTTCCAAAAGTTGAGAAAAGTCAAATGATGTGTGAGTAACGACAATATTTAGAGGTAGAGTCACAGAGCCGGCCAAATGCTGGGAATCCAATCACATTACTAACACTTGGGTAAGGAATTAGATGCTCTCACAGAGTCCTCATGTGAGGGTCCAGAAGCACCATGTGTTCCTTGTGCCAGTTTCTTTGGGCACCATAAATACACCTTTGGAGGACGTCTTCATTTCAATTGTGCGCTAATTTCCTATATTTAGATGTGTTGAACATTAAAGGTATGGAATGCTCAATAGTTCTGACCTATATATTAATAACCTTAGCAACCCACAGTGATCTAGCAAAAGGCAGGCATTGTTATTTCCATGTTACAATGGGTCAGCGGGCCCCCAAGAGGTTAAAGAATCTATTCAAGACAAAAGCTAGAGGTAAACCCAAGTCTTCCCAGGGGGTATGTACTTTCCGTAACAGACTTCAACCTGACCAAGAACCTTTCAAGGAAATCCTGTTTAATTTGGCACGTTATACACAGACCCAGGATAGAACTAATCATGGATTTGATAAGATCTCATGTTGCAGGATGAGTGTTCATACTAGTGCATTAAAACCACAGTTGGGGAGGTAGCTTAAAACGATTTAACTTCCATGTGTTATACTTAGGCCAAAATCAAGCTCTAAGAGAATGTTATATCTTCAAAAGTTAGACATGTTTCAATGGTACCCAAGTGAAGATCATTGGTAAAAGGTTAAAGTTCTATATTCTTTTAAGAGTACTTCTTTAAAATACGCTTTTCTCTGACAATTAAAATATTTGTTTGAATTGAAAATTGTAAATGGTTCCTTTTGACTAATGTAAAGAGAATGGATCCAAAATTATACAGTTATTATCTTATATCTAAGAAAACAGACTCCTTCAAGTAATAAATTTTTAAGTAATTTTGATTTTTACAAAGAACAATCTTAAAACTCTAAGCATCGTTAAACACTTCATGCTCACTCTTGTGCTCTCCTGTATTTTCCTGATAAAAACATATGAATAAACTTTTATTTTTTAAAAGAACACACATACAAAAGGAAAGTTGAAAATATTTTTTAATTGAATTTTAACTCACTTTTGTTCATTTTAAGCAATGTATAGAAAAAAATAATATATTTTAAAAATTGACTGCTTTCTATTTTCTTTAGGATAAAAATAAAGACTAAGTATGTGTGGCTGATACATTGAGTAAACTATTTTAGAGTAATGATTTTAAAAACAGGTACTGTGTTTCAGTTTGCAACTTGTCTCAGAAAATAATATATTTCTAAATATACGTCTTTTGACTTCAACGACTTCATATGATGAGTGTTTGCAATGACTTGGGAAAAACTAGCTGAATGAAGTCAGGTCATTGGAACACCCCAACTTTTATATTATAAAACTGGGCTTGTTACTTTTTTCCCTTCAAAGCCACTCCTCATCCTGTCTTTCCTATCTTTTGTGAATGGCTCCAAACTTTTGCTCACACAACTAGAAAACCTTTACACTCTTTTTGTCTCCATCATATCCCTCAACCTTAGCAAGTCAACCTGACATCAATTTGTCTGTATCTAATCCTTTCTTGAGTCTGTCCCTGTCTCCCCATCCAAACACTTCTACCTTTGTTCAGGCATTTGTAGTCTATTTCCTGGACTCTTCTGGCTTCCCTGCCTTTGATGTCTCCCTAACATCCCTCATTCAGACGGCTGCCAGAGTTTTTTCACTGAATCACTGTCTAGTTTTCTTTAAAAAAAAAAAAAAAAAGGAAAGAAATCTTTAAAAGAAAACCAATTAACAACAGAATAAAGTCCAAAACTTATTTTTTCCTGGCATTTAGGGCATTTAAATCACCTTTTCAAACTCTCTGAATAGCAATAACTGGTGACTCCTCACTTTTGCATCACCCTTCTGAGGGTGGTCCCACTACAGAAGGAATAGAGCAAGGTGACTGGGAGCACTGACTCAGGAACGAAAAAGCCTGGGTTTGAAACAAACCAGTCACTCAGACTAGCTGTGTGACTCTGGGCAAGTTACACAACACCTCTGTTCCTTATTTCTCTCATCTATTGTGGTACCACTCTCAGGAATTAAATTAATTAAGTTAAATTATATCAAACTAGAAAGGGTCTAGAAAAATGCAGTGGAGAGCCAGGGAAATATGTCTATACATGAGCATTATGTCATTGTGACTTGTGTCATTGTGACTAGTTTTAGTTGTTGCCCCACTAGCTTATAATCTTTTTGGAGTCCGAGGGCCATGGCTTATTCATCTTTGTGAGGATACTCTCTATACAAAGCAGATTCTCAGTAGCTGTTTGTTAAATTAAACAGAATGCAAATGAAATGTGACAGAGGTGTGTCCAACTGTTTAAAGGTAAAATGAGTTGTGTTGATGGCACAGACATCAGCCATTTCTTTAAATCAACTTTATTGAGGTATAACTTGCATAAGATAAAATGTACCAATTTTAAGAGTAAAATTTTACGAATTCTGACAAATGCAGACATTCGTGTAATCACCATCCCCATCAAGATATAGAATATTCTCATTATCCCCAAATTTTCCTTTGTGCCTCAGCAGTCAATCCCCACTTCCCACCCCAACCTCAGGCAACAACTTTCTGTCATCATAGCTTAGCCTTGCCTGACATTTATTTTTAATTTTTAAATTAGAATTGTTTCTAGAATTGTTTCTATGTTTCAACCTGAATGATCTATGTCTATATAATCAACTCATACACAGTAACATGCAAGAGGAAAAGTGTGTATGATGCACCAGTTGTACTGGGGTTGGGGGTGAGGGTAGGGGTAAATGTTAGTTGAAAACGGAAAACAGCATTTGTACTTCCATAACCATTTAATTCTTGAAACTTGGCTTTTTTGTTTTTGAATCCGTCATTTTAGGCACAGTTCTACCCTGTAGGCAAGATAGGTATATCCTTATTTAACACCCTGTACCCTTGATCCCAACAAGGTGAGGACCCAATCCTGGCAGTGAGTGCCCCGTTGTTCAGAATCAGGGCTCCTGCCTGCTCCTTGGCCCATGCTTCTCTCCTGGAGTTGAGGAGTGAACAGAAGACCGCAGCGTCCTGGAATTGAGGCTACAGGAAGGGCCCCGAGCCCTCCGCGGTTCTGGATGCTCTCTGGGGAAGGACGCTCCCTGGGTCTCTGGAGCGCTTTGGCTATGGAGCACAGGCTTTGAGGGTGGCACTCTGGTCGCTGCACCTGGGGGCAAAATGACCCCGCAGAGGGTCTGCAGGAGTGCTCGGGGCTGGTAGTCAAGGCAGGGAGTGAAGTCAGGGTGGCGTGGGGGAAGGGGCCGGGGCCGGACGTGGCCAGCAGACTCAGGGCTTGACACACACACTCACACAAAAGAGGCCGGAAAGTGTCCGCAGGAAGCCCGCGCGTCACGGGGGACGGAGCCGGGACCCTGCCGCGCCCGCCCAGCCGCGTCCCGGGTAGAGGCCCGCGCACCCCGCCGCGTCCCGCCACCGCCACCACCGCGGCCGCCAATGCAACTCCTCCCGCTCCTCGGTGAGTGCCCCGCGCCCCTGCCCCGAGCTCGCCTGAGGCGCCCATCGCTCCCAGGGAGTGGGGTTCGCAAGGTGCAACTCACGTGCCCAGTGGATGAGGCCAAGTCTCCAAGGAGAACTGACGCATTACTTACTTCTTAGGGTGTTTTTCTCCTTGGCCTTTCAACTCTGGAGTTCGATATTTAGGGCCCAGGGACTAAGTCACCTTTTTATTCCTGCTAACAAAGTCCCCAAAGTCTCTGACTTTGACCTTTCTTCTGATCTCCCCTCAAGAAATTTGGGAAATCCAAACCATTAACACTTGCGGGAGGTTTCCTGGCATTTTAAGGGGACTGCCAGCAGAGACTTTGGGTTCATTTAAAATACCATTTTGATGATGCCTGCAGAAAGATAATAAATCACATATTTGAAGGCAAATTAATTCTGGTGTAGACAGTGTGTACAGCCCTATGTGAGGCTGGGATTTAGAATTGAATGTTCAAGAATCTCTTTTTACCAGATAAGGACAATTTATCTCAGATGACTGTTTTCAGAACAATAACTTGCATGATTCATAACTGTTCATCCCCAAGTAGACTTGTCTTGAGAAAGCCTGGGACAACCATTAAAAATTGAACATCCTATGCTTTTCCTTATCTTTTCCTAACAGCCCACAAAATACCATTTCCAACTTTGTTTTCAAAAGCTCTGAAATAAAGTCTTATTCTCCTGTATGCTTCATTTTGTTGGTCGAGTTTGTGTGGTGTTCCATTTCCAGGAGATCAATCTTTGACCAATATGTTGAGTTTTGTCTTAATTTCCCCTAACAGGGGAAAATGTAAAAGAAATTTTATTATGGAAAAGGCAGAATTTAAAAAGAACATTAAAACACAGAAAAAACAATCATTGCATTTGTCCTCCTAGATGTTATGACATGTTGCTCTCATCTTAAAATAACAGATTTGAATTTGAAAAGACTCAAATACTCACTTTACCTTGATCTCTGCACAAAATCATTCCCAGAGGAGGGAAATTGCTTTACAATCATGCAATTACCTTTAAAATTATCTCACCTTCAGCAAAGGGTCCCATGATCTAGGAATGCTGTTTTCTTTATGAAGCTGGGTTGTTTACTACATTTTAGCTTTGTAGAGACTTACTTCATAAACATCGAGATTGAAGAAAAGCATTAATCTTTTTACTTACTTGCTCTTGTGCTGTTATTTAGCTAAATGCTCCCTTGGGAAATTCTTATAATCCATTTACCTAAATGGAAAGAAAGAAGTATATTTGTGTTTATTGCAGTCTCTCTCAACAATGGGGAGAGATTTTTCTTTTTCTTTTTGAAAAAGTGTGTTTCTCTATTTTCGTCAGTGGGTTTTTCCACTTTGCTGAATTGTGCCTTCCCTCAAAATTGCACCAAGAAGCCCTGTCTCCCAAACGCAAAATGTGAAATACGGAATGGAGTTGAAGCCTGTTATTGCAACATGGGATTTTCAGGAAATGGTGTCACAATTTGTGAAGGTAAACAATCTTTATGACTTCTTTTGGATTTTATTGGTAAGATTAAATTCTGATATGATTGCTTATCCCTTGTCCAGAAATTGTTTCACATTGTACTGTTTGATTTCATGCTATTATAAAAATGCTTAACAAAACAGTAAGTTTGAACTTCCCATGTCAAAATTTACACTCAGTTATTAATTTTTGATGATTCCATGTATATCTTATTTTGGGTATGAATATTAAAAATTACCCTTGAACTTAAGCTGGAAAACTAAGTTGCAGAGAGTAGAGTCAGTACTTTGGGGAACTAAAGAGCGGAGAGTTCATGAAGTCCGGGTTATACTGGTATGTGTGGCACTCAGATACCTTCTTTAGTACTTGACTACCTAAATTTGAGGATAGTGTTAAGAGATTTGAGGTTTTCTCCTGCATACCCCGGGTGTAGGAAATGAAGAGAGAAAGGGGAGGGGTAGAGACTTTTGAAAATATATTCTTTTCTGGAAAAGTGAATCCTATTTATAAGACTTTAGGCTAGAGCCCAAAGCAAGAATGCCAGAAAGGGTCCTTCAAGGGTGCAATTTAGCCCATTGACTTCATAAACAGAACACCATCCGATAATCAAATTTATATGATTTCTTGTCTGTGTTCTCCACCACCACCTCCACTCCTGTTTCCTCAAGCATCTCTCAATCTTTCTTTATTCTCTTTCAGTTTTAGTAGAATCTAGTTTTAACTGAGTCAATAGAACAACATCCTGGGTAGGAGAGAGAAAAAAAGTTCCAAGTCATATGAATTAGTTTTAAAATATAATTAAGTGGCAAATTCAAATTAGAACTGTGTGGTATTATACTCCTAAATGTATTTAAAATAACACGAACTTTTTCTAATTAAGCCAGGATATTGTACATTGTTAATATTGCATGTGTTTGCTTATAGCGTAAACAAGTTGTATCTCGTGATTCAATTTGATAGGCTCTTAAAAAAGATTAAATATGCAGTATATAGTAAGACCAAACCTCATCATAATTAGTGTAATGTTTTAAAAATGTAGAGGAAAGCTGCGGCTTTTTTATGGTGCATTAGATCAGGGATTTCTGCTTGTACATACAGCCAGGATTTGTAATATACTGTTTTACAAGCACTACAAAATTCTTTCCATAAATAATCTTAGATTTTTATTGTGTATTTAATTGAATGGCATTATGGCAACTTGCTAGTTGAGTGACCTTCAAAATATTGCTGCAAACATATTAGTGTGCTTTCCACCAATCATTACAAATTGTGCCATAGTCCTTCATAAACAGTGTTGTCTTTCTGTTATTCAGATACTTTTCAACTGTCATCATTACCATCATTAACATCAATAACTTTTCACAATTTGGACCTTCAGCAGCCAACCAGTTTATAATCGTGTTTCTAATGATTTCTTTTAAAAAGATATTTGCCATTATCCAGTATAGTTGTTTTTTCCCCCGCTGCCTAAGCCAATAGCCAGCTGAAGGGCAGAAAATATTTTCCGTTGAAAAAAATACTTCAAGACCTTTTGGCCTGCAATTTCTTTTCACAAAGAACACAATTTGTAATGGGAATTTTTTTCTTCTCAAGTTCATTTTTAACTTAAATCCCCTTCTTATTTAAAGAGTGTTATATGTTTACTTGTTTTAAAGTTTACTGTTTTGATGATATCCTCTTAAAACTACCCAAAGGTTTATGATGTCCTCCTAAAACTGTTCAGTTTCACCTTTCATTAATTCACTGATAGATTTTTGACATTTTTTTTGGTAAATATATTTGATATGTCTTAGAATTAAACCAAGGCATTGTATTCTCAACTGCTGAATAGACCAGGTTATATTTTGGGTTTGAAAACTCTTATTGGCCTTTTTCATCTCTAAAAAGATTCTCCACTCTTTCTATCTTTCCCTAAGATTGGTGTTAGGTTAATAAGAAATGACTAAACAGGAGTTTTGTTACAGGGGATGCCTACTTTGGGAGGAATAAAGGGTTTTTTTTTTTTTCTTTTTGGCTCATTACTATCATCTTCATAAAATTTGGCTGCCTTGGAGACCTGCCAAATAAAAGTTATGGTAATAACTCAACCTCACTAAAGGTACTCTGTTCCAAGAGCTAGTTTTGAACAAGTTATGTAGAATTTGGATTACATGGTCAAATAGAAACAAGTTTCAATAGCAGTGACTTTATTTCATTTAATCATTTTTTATTGAATGAATATTGAGCACTTTCACCATCCCCATTATCATTATCACCATCATCATCAGGATAGCTAAACCTACTGTGCAGTGAGTCCAAGATATTCCTTAACAAAATACCTTCCTCTATTATTATTCCCATTTTATCTGTAAGGAAGTAGAGTCTTAGAAAGGTTACATGAACATCTCAGTTGATACAACAAATAAGTGGTGGGGCCAAGATCTGAGCCAAAGTCTGTCTAATTTCAGCACCTGTATTCTTACTCTTTATGATTGACCATAAGGCCTCTGCTTAACAGGTACTGCTATGCCCTCGCATTGGAACAATGAATGATAAATTGGCCTTGATTTCCAGTATATTTAGAGATCGTTAGAGAACCATATTAAAAAGTTATAAAAGGGATAAATGGAGGTAAATTTGAGATGTGTAACCAACTGCAGGACAGCTTTCCAAGTGGTGGAGACATTTAAGCTGAGAATTGAAGAAATGGTATTTATGAAGACTGACAAAGTGGCAGGGAAGTCAGGCAAAATGAATCAGCCCTAACAAAGACCTAGAAGTTGAACATGTGTGGCGTGTTTTAAGGAGCTCCAAGTATTTCATGCTGGATATGTATCCCAGGGTATATTAGTTGAAGGGTCAGTGGGAATTAAGTCAAGATGTCAAGGGTATGGACTTTATTCTATTAACAAAGAGCTGTTGGCAAGTATTCAGTAGCTGAGTTACATGATAAATTGTGTGTATTAGAAAGACGACCCTGCTAGGTAGAATACGAATGGATTAGCAAGGGTCAACCCACACCCTATAAAAGCAATAATACTTTATATTTGTATAGTTCATTATAGTTTATGTCACTTCTACCTAATATACCTTTAATTTTCAAAGCAAGCTTTTGAAATCAAAAGTACAGTTGCTGTCTTTTATTTACCAACACCACTATGACTGGTCGTAACTAGTTCTCTTGAGCTCCGTGCTACAGCCTTTTGCATATGAGAGAAGCAGGACTCTGAAACCTTGAGTTTCCCAGTGTCCCAAGGCTAGAGTGATAAAGCTAGGACTCAAACTCTGGGTTCTCAGTCTTCTCTAGATTACCAAAAATGTTGGCATATGACTAGTCATCTGGCATAATTGGTGTAGTACAGGTTTTTAAACTAAATTGGTAGAACAGTATCATTTTAATAGAAGATTATCTATTTTTAACAACTTTATTGAGATAGTTCCAGGAATTTATCTACACACTTATCTTGATGCTGATACGTGAGGGTGTTTTAAGACAGGAGAGGGAGAAGTTTGTGTAGAAATTTCGGGGTATATTTAAAAGCTTTTGAAGTTGTCGATGATATTTAACCCTAAAATTTAGTTCATTTTAGTTTTTTAAACGTATATTACTATTGCTATGCCTTATGCTTCTTAGCACAGTTTTGGTTACCCTCTGGTGCACAATTATCATAAATATATTGAGTGAGAAATCCCTCTTCCCCCAGGTAATTAGGAAAATGTTAAAAATGGGAGGGAAGGTTGGAAGGGCTGAAAGAATCTTTGCTTATATCTAAAATACAATATTGCTTGCATTGGGATAAACTGAGCTGTGAGAAGTGAGAAGCAGGGACAAGGGGAAGGATGCAGTGCGGTGCATGTTTGCGTGTGAGGGCAGGTGGAAGAGATAGTCTCCCTGCTCTCCCATAAACTCACTAAGTGGAGCTGTGTTCTTGGAAGGTTCATGGAATCAGAATGAGTAGAAGAAAAACATTTGCCCCAGGTGAGGATAGGAAGGGTCAGGAAGGATGTAATTGACAGCTTGTGCACAAGTATAGAAATCTTTCCATAGGTTGGGACATGCCTATTATGAACAACATCACAACACTTGACAGAAAATAATGAAGTCTTGATGCTGGCACTCAGGGAGACATATTCTTTGTTGAAAAAGCAGTTTTTCATTATTATCTAATGACCATATATATGCTTGTAAAATTCCACTGGCAGAATGTTATAATAAACTAGACAGCAGTATGACTCTGGTAAAGGTAGAGAGAACAATGTCACAAGAGCTATCGAAGAGTCAAGAAGAAGAAATAGCCTACGGGTTCAGAATGTGGGAGAAATATTAGCTAAACGAATCCACTAGCATGATTCTGCCAGGGCTAAAAAAGAAGTGCTGAGGACACGTGATTGTTTCTGTAGCAGTTTGTTCTTTAGTAATAAAGAGGATGCTCATCAAAATCAACCGTCATCAGAAGAGATGCAAAGCATACCAAATGTGTGTGTGTTATGTCGTGTATATACACATCAGTTAACACAATTACATACACTATCTAAACTACGTCTTATGAATAACAAATACAGTTTTAAATTTTTAATGAGGTGATAATTTGATAATTTCCATAATAGAAAGGACAATAGAAAAATAACACTAACTCTTCTTTGCCTCGTGTCTCCATGATATTTCACATTTAACTACGAAATATATAGTCACAGTTATATTTGAGATATAATGATTTATATATGAGATATATATATATATATATATATACCTTTTGACTTTTATGAAGTGTGGTCACCACATGTATGTGAATGATTTTTAAAAACAAACATGTCAGAATCACATGCACTAATTGGTATCTCCCATTTCTCACTCAAGTAAGTGTCATTGTAAGGTTGTTCAATTACTACAATGACGCTGCCAATATTCCAAATTTTATTAGAGCTCTTACTTTATAATATATACATAAAAATATTTTTTATTATATATATTATAAAAATGTATTTATATAATTTATTTTATTTATATATATTTATGTATAAGAGGA